ACCCAACACTGATTTAGGTGGTTAAAAATGCACATCGAAGAGTTTAAGGAAGGCGAAGAGATAAGCCAGAGGGGGATTGTGTCTTGTACAAGTGACATAGGTGACTGGAATGCGAAACGTGTTCTTGTCGGAGCTGGAGGCCGCGCACTATTCTACCCAACTCTGCTCTACAACCTTCTCAGGAACATGATTCAGTCAGAATTCCGATGGTGGGATCTAGTCGATCAGGTAAAAAAAAACATTGGATTCCCTTTTAAACACCACAAAGACCATCCTTTGGGGATCTAATCAAAGCTTTGTTGGTTGGGTTATCAGTATATATTGCTAGGTGCTGTGCCTTTCCCCATTCATGTTCCACGTCTCAAGGAACTTGGTGTACATGGCGTCATCACCCTCAACGAGCCTTTTGAGACTTTGGTTCCCACTTCTCTCTATCATGTATGTTATGTTTCTCTCACCTTCCTTCACCTGCTTTACTCTGCATTCTAATTGATCACCTTGTATTGTAGGCCTATGGTATCAAACATCTAGAGCTTCCCACCAGAGATTATCTCTTTGCTCCATCCATCACTGATATTACCCAAGCTGTTGACTTTATTCACCGTAAGTTTCATCTTCTACAATCCTCTTTGTTTGTTGAAAAATTCAGACTTGTCATTCGCTCATACTTTTGTCATCCTTCTGTTTGTAAAAAGAGAATGCGTCTAGTGGAAAGACTACATATGTTCACTGCAAGGCTGGTCGAGGACGCAGTACAACCGTTGTTCTCTGTTACCTGGTTTGCCATCTCTCCTCCACCATTTTTATTCTTACTAGCGTGCTGTTTGTTATCTTTTTAATTTGTACCCGATAGGTGAAATACAGGGATATGACACCCGAGTGCGCTTATGAGTACATTAGGTCCACGAGGCCGCGGGTCTCACTTGCTTCAGCACAGTGGAAGGTGTGCTTTCTCTGTCCATCCCTACAATTCATTCATTTGACAAGCTTTGTTACCACGGTTGCTAAGATTATATATTTTGAATGGCAGGCTGTGAAGAAATTCTACAATGCCAATATGGGAAGGAAGGCAAAACAAAGCAAGATGATTGTGAAGCGAACATGCATGGCAGAGAAAGAGGCAGTTTTTGATGATGGGTCGATGGTGGTTGTGACAGAGTCAGATCTGGCTGGGTATGATGAGCCTCAAAACACAGGTGGTGATGCTTCATGCGTGGATGCGTTGCCAGAGCTGAGTTTGGCTTGCAAAGTCCAGTTTGTAAGCCAAAATGCACTTGCAAAGATCTCTTGCTTATGGCTCAAACCATCAAGGAGACAAGTCCTTGTTGATCAGTTGCAGAGTCTTGGTGTCAACATCAAAGTCTGTTAAGTTTGAGACATTGGCAAGTGACAAGTAGAAAGGTGATGCTCATCTTGAGGCAAATGTACTTGTATCCCTTGTTGTACAAAGCATTGAAATCTCCATTTACAATGGGAAAATTGTGTTAAGAGATGACACTCTGACTTACTATTTACTCAAAAACTACTTATGTTTCTAAAAGCCTGAGGCCTAATACCAACCCCTAAAAGCAAGCTACATAACTACAAATAATGAGAATAAGCCCGAATGTGTGAAGCAAAGGGATTTATGCTTTAGACTTTATTTTTCGTAGCAATTGGAAAATTGGGAAGAATTGTAAAAAAACATGATATGCGCGTTGCGTGGGAAAATCATAAAAAAATGAAGACGATATAAAAAAACGTGACTAAATGTGGCGTTTCCAAGCAAGTGCAAATATATATATATAGTAAAAGTAAAAGTGAGGATGGTGGGCCTCTCTCTCTATAAAGTCACCCTCCCTCAGTGTTTGCAATCAGAAAGAAAGCAAAAGAAATGCAAGGATCGGATAACTGCTCCTCTGTGTTGGATTCGATTCGGCGGCACTTGTTGGAGGATGATGACTTGGATTCGACGAGGAGAGGGGCCAACTTCAAAGGGGTGAGGAGAAGGCCTTGGGGTAAATACGCTGCGGAGATCAGAGACCCCAACAAACATGGAGCCAGGATTTGGCTTGGTACTTACGAGACTGCCCACGAAGCAGCTGTCGCGTATGATCGAGCCGCTTTCAAGATGCGAGGGGCCAAGGCTAAGCTCAACTTCCCCCATCTCATCAGCATTGATGGCCCGGAGCCAGCGAGGGTCTCCAAGCGCCGCCCGAGTTCACCAGTTTCAACCTCATCCTCGCCGGTTGCTAAAAGAAGACGGAACACTGACATAATAAACCTGACGGCTAGAGTTCCTTGCCTTGCTCTCAACTATTTTTACCATATGACCCCACCGCCTAGCTTTTTGGCTCAGTGACTTGGATAATTAATTTTGTTGATTACTGATTTTCATTGATTCCATCAAATTGTATGTACCCATCAATCAAGCAAGCAAATCCTGCTTCTCAGTTCATATCATTTGTGCCAAATCGAATTGTTAAATTTGAGAAACGGATGGACGCGAAATCAAATCAAAGACGCATAACAATGGCCTAGTTGAGTGAGAGAGATAGAGAGAATTTAAGGTTTTATACAAGTTGAAGAAATCAAAGGCCACAAAAACCAATAGTTACCGCCACCATTAGCAAAAGATGGCTTACATTACGTAAGTTCCCTCAAAATCATCATCATCATGATCTAATCTCCGGTAGATGGTATGTCCATCTAACACCATTTCAAATCCCTTTTACTCTCTATCTTATCATCGGATGCCTCCTCCTGCGTACCAAAGATGAGTGAGTGAGCGTGTGCATGTTACACGTCTTTCTACTTTGTATGCCTTGTATCATTATCAGAGCAATAACTAATGGTATGTTACCTCTTTGGTCGGATTCCATCTTCTTCGTAGTCCATCACTCCACTTGGTTCCCCAAACATCTCTTTATACCCTCTGCTATCAACATCCCCCTGCCCACATTGTAAGTAAGACTACATCGACAACACGCTTCCCAATCAAATTTCACAAAAGTCTACCCTTTTCTTTCTACATCCACCACCAACACTTCATCATATCAAAGCACAGTAACTTCGTTTTCATTCCACAGAAAAATAACAAGCTAAATCACTCCGGTCACTACAGGCTAAGTGCAGATCAAATTCTCCTTTCCAAACACTTCACTTCCTCTATATTTGGTCAATTTTTAACACTTCACTCAAAGTAACACTATAATCGTTTTTGTTTATATAACTTCATGATAAATGTTTATATCCAACAAACATCTATGTTTTATTGTCACATTATGCATAGCAATCTTGACCAGTAAAGGAATTACAAAGCTGAAAGACCTTGAGAGATTTCTTAAAGGAGTCTCTCTGCTCCCCTTACAAAGAATTAAAGTCTTGATAAACCCATTTTAATTCTCTATAGATATGATATAAAACAGAAAACCTAACCGGACTCTAACTCATTGTTAGAGTAAAATTAACCGTGAAACCATAATCACATTATATACTTAGTAGGGAATAGCGAAGCTCTTAGGCCTCCAAGCCCATCATATCTATCACTGACCTTCATGGATAGAGACTTCTTCATTTCTTCCACACTTTCTTCTGCTTCCTTACGATGTTTTTTGTCCATCTCACTCATATTGTCTGCCCATTTGATCTTGTCTTGAATTGAAACGAGTAGATTTTCTGATGTGTTCAACCTACACATCAATTTGTAACAATGCATTAACAGCCAGTCTTATAAATTATGCAAACCACAAACTGTTACTTGAAAAAAGGACACTTCACATAGAACTCAACAGTAGGTTGTCGAGGTAAATTAATACCGTCATATATTCTAACATCATGTATGGGTTCTTTTAAATAAATTTAGAGCGCAAAATTCCAGGAAACCAAGGGAAGAAGAAAGCTAGATCAAAGGCACTACCAGTTTGACAATGTGTGTAACATATCCCCCAGCTGTCCTGGCCTTGGATCCCTACCGGCTGCAAATGGAACCTGCATGTTTCCATGATATATGACACTTAAAAAGGGGTTCGTAAGTTTAAACAAAAAGGATTATATAGGAGAATGAGACACAAAACACACCTCGAAACATCTTTTTAACTGATCCAGTTTTCCTCTAACTATACCCTGGAAGATTTTAACAAAGTCAGCACCATGATTCTGTACCTTTCTGTATTGTGACAGTTTGTTGTCTATGCAACTACCGCTTCTTTGTGGTAAATAAAAACATAGATTACTCGGAAAGAAAAAGGTTTAAATTTGCTTAGAGTACTCACCGCATACATGCATTCATTGATAAGAAAGTCCTCGAGTTCACGAACATTGGTGACATCTAACTCAACCATCAGTGTATCATAGGGCAATACCTATCATTAARAAGCAYCGWGTGGTYAAYAAAYGGAAACACAACAGAGAAGGCTAGGTGTAATCACATCCAAATTATTGTTGATTTAGGACAAAAGTATCAAACTGGTCACATGCCAACCAACAAAAAAAGAGCCATACCTTGTTTGATTCCGCAAGGGTAAGCACAGTTAGCTGCTTTAACTTGAGAATTTGATCAGGAACCAACTGAGGAATACGGCTAGCATTGCCTAGAGTTTCAATGAAAACTATTTAGAAGAGGAATAGGAGACATTTGTTGATAAATAATATAAGAAAACGTGACAGGCGACATTGATAAGGTAAAAGGAACTGAAAGATTTAATCGTACATTTGTAGTCACCCCATGTGCCATGGGCAAACAAGCGTAGTACATCCAGGTACACAGAATTTGTGGTTCCTTCAAGCTGCAATGCATAGTTAACAGCTTTATTAAGAGACTAATAAAATGCAACAGTAGGAGATACCTAGTAATTAATATCACTAACGAACTCCAAGAATAAGAGTACTCTCTCAGAAGAAACTGCACAAGAAACGACTAGCAAAGAAGAACGCACCACCACCACCAAGCAAGC